CTCAAACAGAACAGGGGGGCATAGAAGACTGGCGTCGTAAGTGCCTTTCATTGGTGTAAGAAGAACAGATAGATGCCTTTCCCTCCTATCACTCGATGGGCTTGGAACACGGGAACGCACTTCGCTAAAAAATGGCCCAAAACGCAAAAGCAATTTTCTTTGCGTTGTACTTGGCCGTTTGGCCCTTCTTATTTTCTTGGGTAGCTTTGCATTCTTCGTTGCTCGCTTGTTTTTGCGGCGTCTTTTTGTATCTGTACATTTTGTCATGCTCTCTTTTCGAATGTCTGCTACCATCAGTTGCTGAGCAGAACTAGGATCAACGGTCTCAACAGCTGTATTGTCCGCCCAGTTGATGATTTGTGCTAAAATCACTGATACCTCGTCTGACGGACAGCTGATCCGACTCTTGAGCTGTGGAGTTGTCTTTCCCAGAGCTACAGAGCTCGCATTCCGGCATGTTATCTTCAAATTCTCGTTTCAGTCCACAATGTGCTTTAGTGCACGCCTCTGACCTGCTCTCTCTACAGGGGTTCTCGTCTGTCTGGCCGGTAGTACTATGGTCCCTAGAATATTGGGCAAGGGGCCCACCACTGGAGGTGCGAGCGCTGCAATCGCTGTGACATGCAGGGTTGGATCACGTGATCTCGCCTCGCTCTGGTGAAGGACAGCTGGCGGTTGGATGCATTGATTTTAACGGCAACTTCGCGGTGTTTCCATTTTTTAACAGCATTGTATTGCTCTGACTTCATCTGTGCAGACTTCTGCAGACTACACAATGCGGAAAGTTGCAATAAACTTTACAGGCAGCGTGCCACAGTGCACTACTTACGCGATGCCACTGTCGCGGCCACTGGCAGTGCCACTGTCACCTCTCTCTTTCTTTGTTATTGTGGTTGTTATTTCTGTTATTTCGAGCCCATGGGGTTATAATGAGCACAGACCATGAATGTTCACATAAAAGCAAAACGTTTGAGTTCTCACACGGGAGCCTCGTTCACAATGGAAAATAAAAGTGCTAACAGTTCGATTATGTATACTATAAAATGGGTCTCTGAAGAGCCAAGGTATAACCCAGAAGTCCAGTTAATTTCCCCCTGTTTTATTTTTACCCTGTTCCGGTCTATTTCGTGGCCAGTTGCTTCTGCGTATTCGGCCAGCGCGTTCGACGAAACGTTCTTTTTTACACCATACATATGCTGCTCTAATTTTTGCTAAACTTATTTTTCTTGCCACGGTAACTTTTACCGTAGTCTGCGCCATCATCATTATCATTCTCCTCCCCGAGCGTCCGTCCCCATGTGTGTACCCGACCACGCGGGTTTCCATCTCTCAGTGGTGTAGCCAAGAGGTGGCTCACCCCCCCCCCCCCCCCACATTTTCCTATAGTATATACGGTCGAACCTCGATATATCGAACAGCGCGGCGATCGCGAAATAGTTCGATATATTCAGAATACGATATAAAAAATCAAGTAAGAAATGCGTCACAAACTTATGGAAAACAACCAATAAACCAATCATGGTGCAGTAAGTACTCACTTGAGGATTCAAACAAAGCATTTATTGCGTTGGCTTAAAATACTGAAGAAGGGTAGCCTGCTTTTTGTTGGAATGGCGTGTTTGACGACTGCGTCCTCAATGTAATTCAGGCGATCCATGAGGGATAAGCCGGTGCTTTCAATCACGCTGCAGTGGCGGCACACAAGGGCCAGAGCAGCTATGACCTCAACTGATGTAGGGAGTGGGGCATCATTAGCGCTTGCGGGATCCATCTCGGCAGCGTTTTATTTGGCTGCTCAGCAGTAACTTCGGCGACGATCTCCACATCCCTCAGCTTCACGGTTGTACCAGTGCTGTCGTCACCTCCAACGAAGTCGTTGATACACATGCTTTGCGGCTCGGCACAAAGCTCTCCAGCTTGCTCCACGTTTCGGCGAGCTCGCTCTCTTCATCTGCGCATGCGAGCCCATCTTCCTCAGATTCTTCCACTGATGCCTCGTCAGTGCAGCCAGTGAAGCCCGCATGCTGAAAGCAGTAGGCTATCATCGACTGCTTGACATTATCCCACGACACTTTCAGCATTTCGATGGCGCCCAAAAGATCGATCTTCAGGTCTTGGCCCATCCAGAGCTTGACAAGCAAAATTTCGATCAGCCGACAGTTGTAGATTGACTTAAATGTGCGAATAATGCCCTGATCCAACGGTTGCAGCTTCGAAGTGGTGTTAGGTGGCAGAAATACCACTTTGATGTTGCTCAGCTGGGCATCGGTGTGGTGTGCCGTTCAGTTGTCGAAAATAAGGCATACCTTCTTTCCTTGACATGCCAGGTTCGAATCACATGCCTTCAGCCACTTGACGAAAGTATTCCTCATCATCCACGACTTCTTGTTCCAGGCATAAGACACCGGAATATTAAGGCAGTTCCGCATGCACCTTGGAGTTTGAAACTTGCCAATTACAAGTGGCCGCAGCTTCGTGCTTCCATCCATATTGGCAGCCAATAGGACCGTCACACGGGCCTTGCCTTGCTTGCCCACGTGGCACTGTCCCCGCGAGTGTTCAGCGTTTGTCGCGGAAGCATTTGCCAGAATAGGTCTGTCTGGTCAGAATTGATGATCTGGTTTGGCTCATACTTTGCGAGACCTTTGGCCACTCGTAATCAAGCCACTTCTAAAGTTCTTCTTCATTGGGATCTTCACTCTCTCCCACCGTCTTCCCAACAATGTCGAAGCGAGTCTTAAATCGTTGGAGCCAGCCGCTGCTCGCACTGAAATTCTCGGTGCCGAGAATGAACGCAAAGTTCTGTGCCTTCCGTTGGAAGATCGGTTTCGATATAGGAATATTTCGGGTCCTTGCGTCTATAAACCACTTGTGAAGCACCTTCTCAACATCTTGGAAGGCAGCTTTGCGCACACGCCACGCGCCGGAGTGCCGATTCTTCTCGGCCTTTGCCTTTATGTCGCCTTTGTTTTTGAGCAGATGTGCTCCTTGGTATGCCAAACGCTTCTGCGACGCTCGACTTCTTCTTGCCATTCTCGACGCGCTGGATTGCTTCTAGTTTTGCAGCAAAAGTCAGAGTCGTCCGTTTCTTAGCGTTTGACCACCATCGTTACACACGCCATGACGTGCGACAAGTCTAACTCTACACACACGAACACAACAGGGCTATGAGCACAGCGATTGATGCGTCGACGGGGAGAAGCTAGTCCACTAAGTGCAGTGTGTCGACCTGTAGATGCTGCAAGAATGCGGTGTGTGCACGCCGCTATGTTGAAGTGGCGCTTTTGGCGCCATCGATGTGTGCAGTGGTCGTAAATGCTCACTGCGCTGCCGCTAGTTTCAAGAGTGTTGCGGGAAAGCTCGCCGCCTGTAAACGGAGCGCGGGCGGTTTGTCGTGGCTGAGTTCGATATATCCATTATGCGTCAAACATTGTTCGAAATAAAAAATTAAATATGCATGTGATTTCCAGCATGATATAAGAACCGTTCGATATAGGCAATAATTCAATATATCTGTGTTCGATATATCGAGGTTCGGCTGTAGCGCACAAAATAACGGTCGCCCACACCTGCCTGTCCGGCCCCCGTTCTAACCAAGGTGGTGCCCCCTCCGAAAAAAATTTCTGACGTGCCTGCTGTCCGCGACTTCAACTCACAGAATTCCTTGCTTATAGATTACGTCTGTAGAATGGGCCCATAGCCACTGTCACTTCCTCTTAATGTTGTTTTGATCTACAGGCGAAAACATGGTCAGCTTTGAAAACCGATTCAGCTTCGAAGAGCTGTCGTGAATTATCACACAGCGTATGAATGAAACTGAAAAAAAAAAAAAAAAACCTGAACATGGGCAATTTTACTGAACCATGAGATTGCCGTTTGTATCACCGTACACAAGACTTCGCAGCATGCTCAAGGGCGTAAAATGATATGGCTATTTGATCGCATTTTTTTAAATCGGGATTTATCCCTTTTGTATAAGCTCTGGAACTGAACCAGTCATGCATAATTGTCACCCATGTGTGGCTAGATGGCAGACGACGGCGGCAGTTTGGCATTATGTGAAGTGTAACACTTTTCTGGGGCAGTTATTTAGCACTTCGTACAGTCAGGGAAAAAGCTGCAGCAGTATATTACTGATTTCGTTGAGTGAAGTACAAGAATAATAATAAAAAGAAGGAGACGCGAAAGCAGCTGCGAGCTGCGTGCGGGAGAGCGGCGGGGCAATCCAACCACGTACGTCACAGGTATGCCTCCGCATGGTGGCACCACAGTATGTCCTTGCGCCCAGTATGGCGAAATTTAAGCTCACTGTTATCAAGTTTGCCGAAGAAAATGGGAACCATGCCGCCGCCAAGCGCTTCAGTGAGAAGTTCTTCAACCTGTTGGCACGATTCGTATGGGAGAAAGCAGAAGAGTGTGCACTTGCTAATACAAGTTTTTTGCCGGTAAAGAAGGCCTTTTCAGTTTCGTGCGTACATTTATTTCCTCCGGTATCGCCGTGTAGGGGTACCTAGTTTCTCCCAGCATTGTAGAGATGAGGTTTAAGATAAGGTTCATTCGAATGAATTCGACGGAACTGAGGACGATGCGTTTTGGGAGGGTGGAGACAGCGGCTGTGACGATTGCCAGTCAGACCTCTCGATCAGTGATTGCGACTAGAACGCACGTGATCGGATCTGGCTGTTTAAAGTACGGGCTAATTTTGTTAAATTAACAAGTGCACTTTGTCTGTGTCCCAATTAATTTTTTTAATGCATATACTGCACACATTAAGACTATTTCACATTACTTTATATGCATTCGCGAAATACCTTGCATAATTTGCGCACCCCCTTCTCGGAGCCCCAACATCCGAAAAAAAAGTGCGCAATATATGCAAGTAAATGTGTTAATAGCCAACAAAAACATTCTTGTTTTTTGCCTTAGGCAAGTAATTAGACTGTGTGGGAACGGGACTTAACGCACAACTGAATTCCATCATGAGGCGGCTCTCTTTACAGGGTGACCCCAACGTGCCATCTGGCAAGGTGACGTTTGTGGTGGCGCTGCAGCACTCAATGGTGTTAACAGCACAGCAGCAAGCCTCCATTTCAGCTTTGAATGCCATCGAAGTGCGTGTAAGTGACACCCGGTACAACAAGCCACCCACACCCCAACCATTCAACATCCCACAGGGATGTCATGAATGCTTTTATGAAATCCCCGAGACTTGCATTGCAAGGTGAGTGTGCCTATGACTTGTATTTGTTACTTGTACACATTGAGCATATGCATGGTGTTTCAGATTACTCTAAGAAATTCCTAACATGTGGCTTCTAAGGGAAATTTTCTCAATAGTAAACTGGTGGATATTCATATATGGTAATATTACACTAATTAGCAGTTAATAGTGATTTATTGTAAAATCATTAATTACTTTGTGCTACATTTTGCACTTGATGAATCGTAGTGGCAGTTCAGGCCACAAAGTGTTTCCACTTGGATTGAAATCTGGGGGTGGTGTGGATATTGAGATGGATGCAATGAAACTTGTGGTAAAAATGCACTACTGTTGCAGTTAGATGTATAACAAAATGCATTTTGTGCATTGAAGCACAATGTAAATGGAAAGCCCGTAGAACGATGAAAAATCATTGAAACAAGGAATATTGCTAGATTTGGCTCTAGAGACAGTTCTTGACATTTAGCTTCAGCGGTGTTATAGGCAAAGTTTATGGCCTTATTGGCTGTACACTGTATAGACCAGTGTAAGGGCTGCATGCCCACTTAGGAGCCTAAATATTTAGCGTAAAGAAGTTTGAACAAGAAAGAATTGCATTGTGGGCCTTGATGTCACACATGATGTCAGCAGTGAGTGTGAACAGGAATTTCCAATGCCGGGCTGGAGGGGGGGGGGGGGGGGCGACAAAATATTGTATGGTCCACTACAAATGTATGAGCTAACTCGAATGCTATATTATTTAAAGTATCTAAAAAACAATAGGCAAATACACCTTGATTTTTTATAAATATGCAAATTTCTTACTTATCATATTTAGCTTGCTTTATCAAAAAGAAAATATTTACTTGGATATATTGTGCTTCGCCCGAGCCAGCTCACCGGCAGGGGTGCACGGAGAGATTTTTGGATGGCCACACCTGTTGCCGAGCAGGCAAGCTTAGTAACTCATACACAAGACAGGCTGCGAGTGTTAAGTCCCGTATTCTGAGGACTTGATTCTTTTCTCTGGAAGATCTGGAAGCCCGTGAACTACGGTCCTTAGAATGTTATAGGGACTGTGCCCAAACACTCAAGCCTGTTGACCGTTTGTCAAAACTGCTCGAGCAGTTGCCTCACTCTATAGACTTTATCTCCCCTTTTCTCCCGCCTTGAGAACGCACTGGTGTGACTTGGTGCCGACTATTTTCTGCGTTGGAGGTGTGCAAGGGCCAGTCGTGCCAACTTTGCCCCTTCAATTTTTGTCCGCCAAGGTGGTGTATGGTGTAGCGGTTAAGGCGAAAATGTTGAGGCCCATGCACTGTGTGATGTCAGTGCACGTTAAGGAGAGCCAGATTGTCCAAATTACTGGAGCCTTCTACTACGGCATTCCTCATAATCATATCGGGGGTTTTGGGACATGAAACCCCCAGATAATATTATTATCCACGCTGCAACTCATCCTTGGTTGGTTTCGGAAGTTTAGGTTTTGCCATCAGCCAGATGCGCTTTCATTGTTCACTTGCGTTGTGCTACATTACATATATGACGAAATTGAAGCTCGCTGTTTGAGTTGGTCGAAGAAAACAGCAAGCGTGCCGCCGCCTAACCTTCAGCGGGAATGAGTCACATTTCAAGCATGTTCGACAGCTCAGGTCCTCCGGTATTGTCGTGTTGTGGGGCCTGGTTTCTCCCAGCATTGTAATGAAAAAGCTTTAAGAAGACTGGGCTGTCCAATGCGCTCGACGAAACCGAGGACGGTGCACTATGGAAGGGCGGTGGCAGCAGCTAAGATGGTGGTTGCCAGTTGGGCCTCTTGTCCAGTGATTCAGACTAGACTGCTCATTACTGGATCTGGCTTGTTAAATGGCATGCTAGATCTGTTAAGTGAACAAGTACGCTTCGTTTCTGCTACATATAATTATTATTCTTTTTAATGTGTAGTGTACCGTGCACATTAGAAATGTGTATTGCGTGTTATTTTGGATGTGTTTGCATAATCTCTGTGTAATTTTTGTTCCTCCTTTTCGAAGCTCTAAAATTTAAAAAATGTGCAGAAATTGTGGGAATAAATACAGTTAAACCTTGGTATAATCCAATTGACAAATTACTTCAAAATTTTTTTATAAACAAGTCTCATTATATGCTGTTCTAGTACAAAAATGTGAGATAGAAATGCACAAAAGCTTGAGCAGCAACAGTGATCATTAGTTCTTAGGGCGCAATGGTAGCAATAGCTGGCACGCGTGCTACTCGGCAAGCATCAGCGCATGGCTTTTATACCCTTCTATGTGCTTCTAAGAGACTGTTTGAAAAGAGCATTTCTCCCTGGAGCGGCTATATTCTCTTCCACGAGCGTTTACAATGTAGAGTTAAACGATATCGGATCCAAAACATTTGCTGCCAGTTTTAGTCTTTGTTTACTACTGCATTCATTGCTTTGCCCGTGCAGTGAAACTGATGACAGAGCAGTCTCTAGTTGCTGCTCCGTCATGAGTGACGGAGCAGCGGCTAGAGGCTACTCTGTCATCATCTAGCTGCGGCCTTAGAGATTGGCTCCGGCAACACGCCATAGCTTCTAGCTGATCACGAAGTCTACGGTCTAGCGTCGCTGCGACGGGACGCAAAACAGCTAAGCGCATGATGAGTTGACTTCCAAAGATTCATCATTGTCACTATCAGGGATGCAACAGCTGCGCCACTTGCAGCAATTTGGTACAATTCCCCATTGTTGCGCCAAAACCATAAACATTGTGGAAATTCAGCCACGCTGCACCAAAATGCCCGACCAGCCTCGAAATTTTCTCAGTTTCACTAATTTCAGCGAGAAATAGAGGCCACATTGACCACTTGTATTTTACGCCATCAATCCATCCAAGCGCACAGACCCTAACCCGAAATTACTGTGCAAGATATATTCTAATTATGTCAGGGCACTCGCGAGGCGCGATCGACCAGATAAAGTAACAACGCCATGCGCACATCGGTCCATTGACTACAGCAGATAACCTAAAGACAAAAATGCGTTGTTATAGCTGCCAACGCTTTGTTGGAAATATGAGCTTCCTAGTTGGCAAACACAGCTATGGCATGTTAGCTACTAGAGCTGGAAGCGCGTGCTGCGTTTTTTGCACGCGGACAGAGTCGACGTGCTGCATACGTCAGTGTGGCCGGCAACAGCGTTGACGGCGACCATTGGGGTTGCCATAACAACTTCACATGAAAAATTTTTCTGTCGAAGTTGCATTAGCTGTGACGTCCCGTTGATAGATATCCGGCGATAGGACGCACTTTGCAAGCGAGCTGAGAATTTGTGCCTTTAACCTAATGCTATCGTGAAAAAAATGAAGGATGGGTGGGGGGCGTAGTGATGTTGAAGATTTTCTTGGCCTTGTTCTAACCCGTGCAGAACGCTGCTTAAGCTATCTTCACTGTAGTACAGGAGTGCCCTGCGAAAAAACGTATTATGATTTGGAAGGGGCTGTTAGCACTAGTCACGGGACACTGCACATATTCAACTAGGCATGCGTGTATACACCGCATAATAATTGTGAATAATGCCAACATCTTCAACCACACGTGATGCTAACTTTCTCACCGTAGCTAGCAAGTTTTGATTTGGCTGGCACATTTTATGATAGCATGCTAGTGCATCATGGCTGGAGTGCTCATCTTCAATAACTGCTGCCATGTTTGAGTGTTGTGGCATTGCACACTCATTGCACCTAGTCAAAGTGATGCTACTGAGTGCTGCACTTACTGTGGATGAGACCTTAGTCAAGCACCACGATCATAGATAGTATCCTCACATTACTGAAAGCATGTGCTTGGCCACATAGTCAAGACGAAACTACTGAGTGCCATAACTACTGCAGAAGAAATCTGACCCTCACGTAGTTTCGTTGATGTGCCGTCACGGATGGTGACCACACACTACTGAAAGCATGCTATACAAATTGTACCGCTTGTTGTGGCTACTCTGGACAAAAATGTGTTTGCTGCTATCACATATAGTGCCCATGCAGGTGTATTGCTGAAGTCTTTGGTACCAATAAGATGTTTGAGAATATTGACCTAATTTTTCTGAAGGTACTCAACTAACATTTGTTACACATTGTTGTTAATGCAAATAGACGTAAAGTGTTCTTACCTGTCGTTACCGTACGGTTCACACATTTGATGGTGGTGATGTGAACTGCACTACCTTGTTTTGGTTCTCCACAAGTGCCTTTTCACTACTTTGCATCGCACCTTTCCAGTGCTTCGCACTCACCGTGCTCTAAGAATTGCTCAAATGAACCAGTTTGCAGTCAGATATGACCTAATTTTATGAGGTTTTGATAGTGATCAGCTTACTGTGGTCTGTTGCCTACAAGCGATTTACAAAAATAATAGCTAATAGAATTGAGATGACATTAGAGTTCAATCAACTGAAGGACCAAGCAGGATTTCGTACAGGCTGCTCAACAATAGACCATATTCATACTATGAATCAGGGGATATAAATATGTGCAGAATACAATCTCAGGCGACCATCATTTTGCCATGGCGTGTGTGATGTCATGTGGAGGAAGGAGTAGAGCCGTCATTTTCTACTCAAGTTTAATTCACTGTAAATCGTTCAATTTCATCGCCAAGCTGAAGAAATCTAAATTGTCTTGATTTTATGTGTAGTTGATCTTTGAACAACATCGTTTACCGGAATGCAGATGCGCACACAGCTGCTTGCTTGTTAGTGTGCCAGTGTTGCCCGGCCGAACTTTCGGACAGCTCATGTGTTTATAATATATTCAATGATAAATTCATTGCTTGACCAAATGCACTAAACTTTCATCAGCTTATTTGTGAATGGGGAAGGATTAACCCGCATAACACAGATTGTGGTCTAAAATTGGGTGTCATGGCCCCTTTAATGATTTATGCGGCAGATTGCACTCATCGTCTCCTTGCATCTTTCTTGCTCTGCCTTCTCGCACAATTACCGCATTTGTTCTCCCTGTGTTTGCTTATTGACAACTTGTCATAGATTCTCATGTGACCACCTATGTTGACTATATGGTCGGAACAGTGGGACGCTGCAGGTCATGGCTATCCTCACGAACTTCTCGCTTGGGCAGGATTGTGTTGGTGACAAATAAAGTGCCACGAAAGCTTTCTGACAATTTTAGGTTTCAAAGAGCTGAAAAATCTTTCATGATTTCATGAACTCCCCTAATTAATGGAATAATTATGGCTTGGTTATCAGTTTACTAAATCACGTTTTGATGCTAGAATAAAGCTTGAAGGACTACTTAGGTATTGAAAACTGGTATTTACTGTTTGCTTCCTGTGCCTAAGTTGCCATAGGTTTATCCTCTAAAAAACTGTTAGCTGGCAGTCTTAGCTGGCAGTCTTGCTTGGTTTTACCGTATTATATTTCAGGACTTTTATGTGACATTCTAAACATCTTTAATTGCATCTCACTGGCTTCGCTTCTGTGGTGTGGCTTTCTTTGAGCAAGTGCACCAGTGTTGCAGAATGCTCGCTTCCATTCCATCGCGATTCCATTCTGGGCAAGTGAAACTTGCTGCAATTTCATTCCTTTTAGTTCATAGAATGAAAAAGCGTAGCACATTCCCACTCCAGCAATGGTCGGGCAGTTCAATTCCATTCCTGTAATACCACAACGTAGGAAAAGCATCTTGATAGTTTAATCGAGTTAAGAATGACCACCCCTTAAAGCTGATGTCATCAAATGCATTAAGAACTGCAAAAGTATGCAAAACACATTACCAACTACTAAGGCCGAGGGATAGTAGCTTGGTGTCATATCTCATGCAGTTTCGGGCAAAGATTCTCATGTGTCTAGACAAGGGGCACAGTATTGCAAAAGGTTGGGCGTTTGGGGTAGTATGAGGTGAGACAGTATAGTATGCAAGCTGGTATACGAAAGCTTGCAGCGAATCCCGTATTTACTCGCGTAATGAACTCAGCTTTTTTTCTCGAAAAGTTGACGCCAATTTGGGGGAAGGGCTCATTACGCGGAAGAAAAAAAAGTCACTGGAGTTATTAACAGCGAAAATGTCGCATGACAGCTTTGCTTGTTTTGGCCTGAGAAATGCTTGACAAATCTTTTTTGTAGCCAGCTCTTTCTGTTTCTTCCTGTAATGAAACTGTACGAATCGATGTCAAAGTGTTGTCCAGCTGCTCGGTTCTCATACCACAGTGCATGTTGTTTATAACCCGCCGTGTAGCTAGCGCATCGACGGAACACAATGACAAAAGTTCACAATGACAAACCCGAGAACAAAACGCAGCGTCAGATGGTGGCACACAAACGTTGCGTTAAACGTTGCGGGTGCACGACGCGCCATCGTCGCGGTTGCACTTTGCACGGTCTTCGGGATGGGAGGTGCGTGACGTGTTTCTATGCCGCGCGTTCACCATTTCGAAGGCCATGCGCTTTGTTTTTGTGCCGCTGTCACTATCAGCATAGGGGTTTCTCCTCCATTTGACAGATGCCACTTTGCCGCAAAAGGCGTGACTTTCAAATTTTGATTAACGTCGACGGCACTCGCGCTGCTCGCAACTGTTTAGCATGGTTGCAAAACTATGTTTTGACTTTTAATGTGTTGTTATTTTGTGATATAATGGCTTGATTTAACATTGTTTCAATGGTCAATCGCAGTGGCTATCATACCGAAATAATATGAAGCGAAAAATTTAAAAAGTTTTTTTTTTCCGAGGACCAAGGTGAGGCATGGGTTCACTATGCGAGTGGGTTCAATACGCAAGTAAATACGGTACAAGCATCGCATCAGCATCAAATACGCGTTGCAAACTAGAGAACCGTGAATACGTGTCCGAGTTGCTGATAGTGGCAGAAATAAAAGCAAAGTGAAGTGTGTGGAGACAGCAGGTGGCTGGGGCACCACCGAAGAAAAAAAAAATCGCTATTCATAAGGGGAGAAGATATGCCGCTGCCATTTCATTCGACGGATACCAGCAGCATAGCGCGGCGGTTACGCGAAGAATAGAGACATACTTCGGAGCAACACAGTCTGTATGAGAACAGCATTATAGTAGGTGCTTTGCTTGTATATATACCATGATTGTAAGCAGCCAAGCCATTTTACATATACTGCTTATTGTTAAGTTTGAGACTCTGACTTACTAATGTTCGAAGTTTGAAAAACTGTGCGTAGACGAAAAACGTGCTCTATTTTCGGAGAAAGATGTAATTTCATTTTGTGCGAAAGGTGCTTAATTTTATTTCCCGTTCCATTCCCTCCAAGTGTTGTCTTCATTCCCATTTCATTTTGAAGTCATAAAAATGAGGAATGATTCCGTAATCGTTCTAATTCCGGAGTGGCAACTCCGCAACACTGAAGTGTGACAATCGCTCCTGAACTCACGGACTTTCTTTATTACTAGTACTTGATTACTCCTGGTTCGTAATTATTGCCTTCATGGGCAACGCAAAGGCTAGAGGCCTGTGTACTGAGAATAATGTGCACATGAAGGAATCTCAGGTGGTCGAAATTTTTGGTGCTCCGCATTGCGGCCTGCCTCATAATAATCGGATAGTTGTCTTGGCCTGTAAGACTGCAGAAATTATTCTTATTGAATGGGCAACTCCCGATTGGGATAACCAAGGGGAGCTTTTTTTCTGCAGGTTGGTGTGTGAAATAAGATGAAAATTTTGCATGTTTTTGTTTTAATTATTGAATTTGTCCTGTCAATTCACCCTCCTTAAGAAAATCTAAATAATAATAAAGGATGAGTATGCTTTAACCGGAAAATTCAGTTTGACAGAGCCTTATTGGTAAAAAAAAAAGTTGAATGAATTCAAAAGAACACCAACCAAAAACCAAGAAGGGGAAGCATTTAGTGAAGAAAATAAAAGGCAATTGTGGCTACCATGCGCAAACCTTTTTTTTGAGCAAGGCTTATGTGTAGGATCTAGAACTTGTTTAATTGTTTTAATTAATGTTCCTAATTAACAACATTGGTGCACAAGTGTCTAATACAGTAAGTCATTAGCATTTCAGAATTGACACTGTCATTTGTTTTTTGAAAGGCGTGGCAAGTTCTTGCTTGTAACTTCTTGATGCAGGTACCACGGCATGGGCCAAGTTGCTGGTCATGGTTACAGAAACCCATCCTACTCACGAGGTCACTGGGTTGTCTTCAATGAGGACCTCTTTGGCTTCCTCTGGCTAGAGCTGCTTTCATTAAGCATGTTCCACAGAGTTAAAGAGGACCTTGCTTAGAAAGTCCCCTCCCTTGGAATGCTACTGAAATGATCTGTGTTGGCATTGGTCTGCTACATTCTTGCCAAGGATTGCGAACCAAAGCGACACTGCATGGTTGTCATTGTGAAGAATATTAAGAAGCCATGCAGTGCGGTTGTATTGAACATCAGGGAAAGTCGCATAGCAAGGTGGCACAGTTTTGTTAAGATTGTTCAGAGGGGTGTGACTCTGGCATTCAGAGGGCAGTTTTTGCCTTATTATGGAAAGGTCATGTGTTGAATGTAGTGCTCAAAAAGCAATGGCACTGCCTTTCTGATAACCCTGTTCACGTGTGCAATGCCACACATTACAGGTGTGGTTTTATTGAACTCTGGTCATCATCTTTTTTACGTGTGCTTTTTTTAGGTTTTGAGATCTGGGAGGTACCCATCAGGAGCAATGACCCACTGTTGCTATACTATGTGCATTTTCAAGAAAACAGATGTTGGTATAGAGCACTGGGCCATTTGCGGGATGCTGGTTTTACTAATTTTTAGCTTTGCCTCTTTTACAAGTGATACTATGTGAGCTTACATGGTACAAAAATTTATGTGGTCAACTTATGTTACCAGAAGCCTGTGGGAGTTTGTGTAAAGTGTTGTTCATGGATTATCTGCTATTTCAGGCCTTTGTTTATCAGGAGAAAAGATCAAAGAGTGTGTACATACATACTGTATATTACATACACATACATATATTTTTTGTGGTCTGTTGTGATCAGCATATAGTGTGATGTTTATGATCTCTTGCAACGTCTAGCCATGTTCTTTCTTTTTATTGTTGGTATTGTGAGTGAATATACAGAACAAGGAAGGCTTTAATGACTGTGGTTTTATGTTGCAATACCAGTCACTCTCGTACAGAACACTTCAGCCAGGCAGTGTGATATTAACCAGCACCTTTAAGACTGATTTAACTTCATGCATCTAAAAACATTTAGCATATGGCACCATATTCTTATCAAGAGGCTTTTTGAGCATAATGCCATTTCATGGATGTTTCCATCAGTGTCTGTAAATTGCCCGTTTTATGTACTTCTGTGGAATTGCAGTTGTGTAGACCAATATTGACCTGAACACGTGCTTGCACTTAGTGCTGCTGCACTTACTAAATGTGTGAATCAGTGCTTCTAAATGTGCATGATTAGCTGTCAACATTTGCTAGAATTGGGGCTCAAATACGGGTACTGAAGGGGCATTGAAATGACTTTTTATATACAAAATGAAGGTAGACATATTTGATAAAATAAAACATGAAACTTTGGTAATGTTAGTCAAGTATTTTGTCATGAGACATTGAGTTTAATTAATGGGAAGAATAAGAGGACATTTAAGAATTTAACACAATGATGCATAGTTATATGTCCACAGTTACCCTAGCACACATTATCTATTAAAAAATAAAGAAGAAAATGCAAGTAGTACAAAAGTATGAGGAAAATCAGACGATGTAAAAGAGCATTTTGTACCTTTTGAAATGACTGAAGATGTGTGGGTATTTAGAAGACTTCTTGTTTGCTGGACTCTGTGAGTTTCCTGCTTGAGTGCAGTGTTGCTGTCATTAGCTCTCTCATGGTCATTGTTTCCTATAGTGTGAAATTGTGCGAGTTAAGTGTGGCCAAAGCGATGTCTTCGCAAACAATTATGTGGCCGACTAAGGTTGCAATATTTTGTGTAGAAACGTGAAGGAGTGTATTAGAAAATGGACACCTTTCTAATACCTTTTGCATAACTAGCAATGTGTATCTGTTGCTGTTATTTGTATATTGTGCTGATCTATGAGTATTTACCACCCAAATACCGTTTTGTAGTGCTGTGATATTCAATTTTTAAACAGTTTTTGTTGTAATCATAGCAACCACGTTTTATCATAAGCATCTTTTAACTTTTGTACATTGTGCTGATCTATGAGTATTTACAAGCCGAATGCCATTTTGTAGTGCTGTGATACTCAATTTTCTGAACGGTTTTTGTTGTAATCATAGCAACCACGTTTAGTCATAGGCATCTTTTAACTTCTACTGTGTTTTTGATAATGCAAAGCTTTTTAAATGTGCAATTAGATTGTGATATGTTTTTTTATTACGTATATTTAAGGATGGGGCACACTAGAGTGTAGTATTGGTCTTTGGGCTCCTGTATGTTGTCAGCACTATTCTTTAGCTTGTGCTTTGTTTCGGGTTGAACTTGTGTTAGTTTTGTCTGAATATTGCACAGAAAATTTGCAATATGGGGTGTTTAAAAGAAGACTAGGTTGGTGTGTATTGCTTACTTGAAAAAAGAAACGCAACATTAAGTTTGGATTCATGTGTGTGTTCTATATTTTGTTTGCTCAACAATCTTATTCATGTTTAAGGTATGGACGCAGTCTTTATAGAGCTCTGCACCGTTTTCAGTTTGATTACAATTGCTCTGGTCTTTCCTTTTATGCTTTTCAGTGATCAGAAGGTTATACAAGTGTATAATAATATTGAATAAAAATTTTATGAATCAAAGTGTCGATACTCTGTTGTGTGGGATCGCAGTTATGGCCATATTTAGACCTCTGTTGCTTATTGCAATTTGCAGTGATTGTGTAATTGGCTGTGGCTGAAATTACTTGCGGCCACTTGCCATCTGCATAGGGTACGCATAAAGGTTCTTTGGGCTTCTTAATGCGTTTTGGGCAAGGCGTTGCAGCTGTGTTTCTGGCAGGCATGGAGTTTTCTGTCTGAGCATGTTAATGGGACACTGAATAAGAAAAAAATTTTTTTTTTGTGTATTAGTAAAGGACAATTCCAGTCGTGGAGATGCCACTTTGAGGTTCTCTCACCAAACACCATGACGTCATAAATTTTGATGGCATTTACGAGGTCGCTCATAGTTCCTAATCGGTGTAAATGAAGTACATTGTCATCTGTTGGGGTCATAGAAGCAACATAGGAAGTTTTGGAAATTTACGTAGAGTTAGAGGTTATAAAAATAAAAAAAACATATATTTTGAAATTCGTGACATCGCGTGCAGAGATTTGTAGTGCAGAATTGAAAATTGAAACTTCAATTTATTTTTTTTTCCCTGAAATAATGAACTTATGACTACATTAGAATTCTCAGAGTAGAGTTTATCAATCTAAACCAAGTCATTGTTTCACTTTTGTATCCCTTTAACTGAATGTGCTTTTTATTATTTAGTAACACTGTAGGCTAATACTTCAGCTGAAATGAGGAGGGTCATTACAGCAATGAAAAAGAAAATACAGGCATGCACAAACAATGCTGCATATTATTAACATGGTGTATAAAAGTGAGGATGAATCGCATTTCATTGCTACATTCACCGAAATGGTTTTTCAAAGCAGCCATGAAGTTAGACTCAAATACAGTATACTCTCAATGAATGAAACCTGGAGGGACAAGGAATATGTGTTTCATTTAACAGGAGCTCCATTTAATGAGAGATGAACATGCCTAAGAATTCACGTAAAAATCAATCATGCTAAAAGAAGTCGTTTCATTTAAGCAAGAGTTATATTTAAGAGATTTCCGTTTACTGAGAGTTTTCTGTACACCAATGGGAAGGGCATCCCTCTTTTTCATCATTGGAGGGAAGAAAATATAGTTAGCGTTTATTCGAGCGACAATTGGTACAAGGAAATGTTAGAGACTTTGTGTTGTTGTTCTCGTAGTGGGCCAACTCTCAGAAAAGGGTAATGTCATATTTTTTCCAGCAGTAGCATTGTGTAGAACAAGAAGGCAATTTTTGTTTATGGTCGCAGTGCCTATATCAGTTTTGTAAGATTAATGAAGTCGAACAATCTCCTGATATAATTTTTTGTCTATAAATCTTGCCGCTTTTCTCTGGACTCGCTTCCATTATGTACAGTCTAAGTTCCACAAGGTCCTTCTCAGTATGTGTGTGTTAAGCTCTAGCAGCATATTCCTATTTAGATTGCAACATTGCACTTTTAATATTTTGGTTTTTATAGGCACATGTTTGGCTTCCTCATTAACAACCATGGTTTCTTAAGTGCCACTGAGTAGATCTGTGTTGACCATGTGGCAAGAGTAGTGCCAAGGCAGTTGTAATTTTTGTGTTTGTGGCAGATCTGTTTTCAAGCCGGTAATGAAATTTTTGGGGTTTTTTTTTCTGGTTATGCATAAAACTATTGGTTTTTCCACCCTGAGCTGCATTTACTAATTAAAAGAAGTTATAATGCAACACTTTCATGATCGTCATGGGACGCAATGTGCTATGTGCACTTCAGGAGTAACTCAAGGCAGTGTGAGGATCATTATTGTTTCTAATTTATGTTAATGACGTGATTGACAGTATTTCTGTTAGTGTGTGAATTCAGTTATAAGCGGATGACAGTGACAACGATAAACATGATGGTGGGGGAGAGGGCCGAAAAGAAAACGTTGTCCCGAAAAGAAGAAAGAAGCGTCTGTGCTGCGCCGAATGCTGCCTCCAATCTCGTATTGCAAATTCACATGGCAGCCACTTTTTCGTCGAAGTTTATTGTCTTCGTTTCTTTCTTTCGCCCCCCTTTTTTTAATGGTATCATCCAACTATCGCTTCTTAATGTCCATCGTAGTCACCGATAGCCTGTTCAAGCGACCTTCGTGCGTGAGAAGCCTTCGCTAATTCGTTCAACTTGCATTTGAGGGCACTCAAAGTGCCGCGCGTTAGGCGGCAATCACTTGGTATTTTTTTAATTTTACGCACTTTCAGCATACCCTGGAAAAAATTAACCAGTGTTGTTATCTTACAGTAACTTGGAAATTTTGTTATTTCTGGATAAAAACTACGTCTTGTATTGGATTTTTTTCTCTAGAGTCAGTATTGAAAAAGTTCATTAAGCAATCTTTTTAATTACCGTGCTTGGTGGATCAAAAAAAAAATATTCTGACGTGCTACGTACAGCTAAGAACAATACTGCGCTAGCTGGAGATGCGTAGCACTCATTTTTAATTTTTTATTGATTAGTGCTCGTTAGCTGAAACACCCTGTATATAGATACGTATACGATGGCTGACGTCGACACCGGCGGCAAAATTCAGCCGAGAGTATCTATATAATTGATGTCGCAATAAAAATGTCAGATATTCATACTCCCAATGCGAAAACTTTGTATTGATGTAATTTTGTTTGATTACCACACATTTTGACACTACGAACTCTGCATGCAGCCGTGCGACGCCCGTTGGCTGCATCGTAATGGCGCACGCCGTAGCAGATGACGATGATATCTCCACCCTGCACGACGGCGGGGCGGAGTGCGGCGACACGCGTTTGCATGGTTGGGTAGGCAATGCCACGGGACCCCAAGAGCGTGCGTACCCAGCACTAAAACTTTCTAATAGGGAGTTTTCGAATACGGGCCCCAAAGCCTTTTGCTCATGTACGCTTTGGATCAAGCAGGAGCGAAGAGTTTTCGAATAGGGCCTGTGGCGCTTCGGATATGTCACTTCAGTGAGTGCCATAACGTTTGCTGACGTTTGCTGCCATAACGTTTGTTGTCCATTACTTTCGTTTTCCGCAGATTATTTTAAGATCTATCTTTCTGCTCTCATTGTCTAACTCCGTAATCATGAGCTGCAATTCGTCCCCTGAGTTACTCAGCAATGCAATGTCATCGGCGAAGCGCAGGCGACTAATACACTCTTCATTAACTCGTATCCCTAACTCTTCCCGTTCTAGGCCTCTGAAAACCTCCTGCAAGCACGCGGTAAATAGCATGTGAGAGATCGTATCTGTATCGTGTTCAACGCAATGAAACGAGGCCACACGTTGCTGAGCAAGGAATGAGCACTGTTCCTTTATTCGTGCCGCTTATGCAGCTGCGTGGGCAGCGAGGAAGAGGGAAAAGCCAGGGAAGGAGGTGGCAAACAGTAGGTGCGCACATGCACGATAGCCCGGTCTGATACATCTTCATACAGTTGAGACGCTTGTAATCATAGCCCCTCGCAGATATACAACAAAGCAATACAAAGTTCACTAGCACAGCTGACGAAAGTTTTCATCGTACTGAAGGCGTTTCGGTTCCGTCCGGAAGTGTTTTCAATTCAGATGGGTGTCCGGGTGATCCTGATTGCTCTGTTCCTCCAGGAAGCCTGGTGCTTTGTGGATCAGCCACCGCTGCGGGGTTCGAACCGTTTCCTGGTTTCAAGCCTTCGGCGGGTGGTTCCAAGCTACCTGGCGGCTTATAGTCTTCCAGGCCGTTCTTGTGTGCGTTCTCGTTTGCACATCGTTCGTGTGTTCGCAGCAACGGTTGCCAATTTCGCCTCAGCTGCTTGCGACTTTCCGTTTTGACCAGATATGAACGTGGTGCCACCTCCTTAAAGGGACACTAAAGTCAACTATTAAGTCGACGTTGATTGTTGAAATGGCAGTCCAGAAACCTCGTATTGTTACTTTTGTGCCAAGGCCTATTTTGAAATAAAATCACGTTTTAGTGGTCCGCATAGGGTTAGCGCACTTCCAGTTAGCCGCCTCAAGAAGCGGACCGACCGGACAGACTCATGTTACAGTGGCTAGAATAGGAAAGTGTGATGAGCGGCAAGCGGCGCCTACGGAGCGCACTGAAGCATCCGAGGAGCATCGTGGGGACGCGCGCAGTCGTTTATATGTTGTTAGCACGTTTCCGACAGTTTCGTCGGCCGCGTTTGTCCTCGTTTTTTTTTTTTTAATTGCGGTTGCACTCTGACACCAATGCTTCTGTATGCACTCTCATGGTGCGAAAACAAAGCCATTGCTTCGTCCCGGGGTTTACTACAGGCTACAAGTCAGCTAAAAAGAAGCATGCGTTGTTCGGCGCTCCAAAGGACGAAGCTCTGTTAGCGAAGTGACTGAGAGCGATCCCGCTCACTGACAAGCGGCTTCAAGGAAACTCGGCTGTGGGCGAGCTGCACTTCGGCGAGAGGTACATCTCCCGGCACTTAGAGCACACTGTGAATGGCGAAATTGTCCGCATGGAAAGGGGTAGGCCCATATGCGTGCTTGCCGTTATGAGGGGGGGGGGGGGGGGTGCGAAGGTTCATTGCACTACCAGCATTGATGTACGCACTACCAGCATTGCACATCAAGCACTACCAGCATTGATGTGCGCAGATGATATAGTGCTAATGGCCGACAGCAAGGAAGATTTGCAGAAATTGGTGGGCATCTGCGGTAATGAGGGAGATAGGTTAGATTTCAGATTTAGTAAGGAAAAATCAGCAGTCATGATTTTTAATGACAATGAAGGTAGTGAGCTTAGAATACAGGAGGTCACGCTAGAGATAACAGATAAATACAAATATCTGGGCGTATGGATAAGCAATGGGGCTGAGTACCTAAGGGAACACGAAATATACGTGTCGACTAAAGGTAACAGGAATGCAGCTGTAATGAAAAACAGGGCACTGTGGAATTACAATAGGTATGGTGTTGTGAGAGGAATATGGAAAGGGGTCATGGTTCCTGGTCTGACGTTCGGTAATGCGGTCTTGTGCATGAGATCAGAAGTTCAAGCAA